AGGCGCTGCGGCTGCGCCTCCGCGGCACCGCCGACGACATGCTGGCCGTGCGGCTGCGGCGGCCGCTGTCGCCCGAGACGCGGCGGCGCCGGAGCAGCTGGCGGCGCCACACGGTGGTGGTGCAGAGCCCGCTGACCGACCTCAACTTCAACGAGTGGAAGGAGCTGGGCGGCGGCGGCCCCCCGGAGCCCGCGGGCCCTCGGGCGCACAGCGACAACAAGGACTCGGGCCTCAGCAGCCTGGAGTCCACCAAGGCGCGGGCCCCGTCGTCCGCGGCCTCGCTGCCGCCCGGGGACCCGGGGGCCCTGCAGAGCCAGCCCCCGCGCCGCTCGGCCGCCTCCCGCCTCCACCAGTGTCTGTGACCGGCCGCCCTCCCCCGGTCTTCTCTGGCGTGCTCCCCCTCTCCTCTTGCCCCCCGGTGCGTCTGGCGCAGCAGGCCGCGCCTCCCTAGTTTGTGTGCGGGGATGGCTAGGAGGTGGGCAGGCGAGAAGGCCCGGCGGTAACGGGAGTGGGGGAGACGAGAGGGGCCAGGCTGCTAGGGGCTCTGTGACAGAGTGGGCCCTTGTGGGCCCTTCTGTGTCTGCACTTAGAGACCCTTGTTGGCCATGGAGTGTGGATAGGGAACCCCCAAGTCTCAGACTGAAGGAAAGACACAGGATGATGCTGGCTCTTGGCTTCTCTCCTCTGCCCCTGTCCATTAGCTCCCAGCTCCCAGCTCCTCGCTGAGGGGAAGGGGGTGAATGTATGCCAGGGGAGAGGAGACGGAGCAGGGCGGTGTCCCTGGGGCAGAGGGGGCCTGTGTGCCAGTGCGCGAGTCACTGTCAGAAGGCGTTTCCGTAGCAACTTCTGCCACTCCTGCCCCACCACGCTCACCAGGGCGCCCTGCCTTTGCTGCCTCCAGGGATCCTGCCCCTGCGGCTTGTCAGAGCCAGGGAAGGAAGTTAGGGCTGCTCCACAGAGGCAGGACTGAGACTCTTACCAGGGTTGCTCCCCTCACCAACTTTTTGCCAACCCCTAAACCGCCCTCACTAAGCGTGTTGACCATGGGGAGCTAGCTGCCGGTCCCCCAGAGACTTAGGGGAGGGTCCAGGGTCCCCCTCCCCCCACCACCACTTCCCCAGGCCTCCCTTGCCTGGCTTTTCCTTCTTCCAGCTGTGCCTGCCTCTTCCACAACTCAGGCACACAGACCCCACCTTCTTCCTTTAGGAGGGGGCCTAGGAAACATCCCTGGTGTCTCACTCTCTTTCTCTCTCCCTCCTCTGTCACACACCACACACACACACACACACACACACTGATTTATGGGGTCTGAGCTGGGCTGTTCCTTCAGGATGGGCGGGACCCAGCCCCCTCTTCTTCCCACACTTTGTAAATAGACCTCAGACCACCAGGCCTCCCCACACATGCCCTCACTTATTCCAGGGAAGCCCGGGTGGGGTTGCGAACCCCGCTGCCACGTCTGTCGGTCCTCTTGTTTTATGCAAAGATTTGCTGTAAAGTAGATTTCTCTCTTCTCCCTCCCTGATCCTTTTATTGTAAATATTGTCTCTAAATGTGTAACATATTATAAAGAATTTATAAGGATTTTTAAAGATGTTTTGCTCATTTAAAAAAGTGTTGTAACAGTGTTGGATAAGCCTCTGGCCCCACGTGCGCATGTCTCCTTTCACTGTGTCCTTGACACACCTCTCTAGGCGACAACTAAGATTTCCTGCTTCTGAAAAGTCCTGTCTTAAAAGTATAGTCTCTATCTTGGAAATAAATGGCCTTCCTCGAGGCACGAGTCAGCTGTGTCGCTTGTTTCGGAAGGAGGGAAGGGCAGGAGCGGAGCTGCCAGGGGAAAAGTGGGAGGGGCTGGACCGGGTACTGGCCGAGTGGAGACACGCCTCTGCCTCCTGCTAGCTTTGTAGGCATCCTTGGGGACTCGCATGAGCAATGACATGGGCACGGGATACAAGCCGGAAGGGTGGCAGACCCTCATTGCTGCAAGAGGTTGCCATGTGCTTTCTGGATTCCTCTAGAGGCCAGGTAGGTGCACAGGCACCTTCCTTCTCGGGCCTGCCTAGACCTTCAGAAAGGTCCAGAGGTGCTGCCCAGCAGACAGGAGGCTTGGGCAAGGCCCAGGCCACTGATAGGCCCATCCCGGCTGGCTGTCACCAGGGGCACTCTAGGCCCATGCAGTATCCAGAGGGAACAAGAATGGGTTTTGTCCATTGTCTTATCCCACACGTGCAAGTTTACAACATGGGATGGGCTTTCTTCAATGTCATGGTTCTAGAGGTACCTTTGCCAGCTTCCAGGCTGCCTCTGATGAGCATCCTGTAGGAAAAGCAGGTGACATTCCTCTAAGAGAACCTAGGGGAGAGCCCTGGAGCTGGGTAGAGCTCACTCACTGAATCCTCCTTCCCTTCTCTACCCTCCCCTACCCCCAGGTTGTTTTTGTTTGGCAAATGAGCTCACTGCTAGTGTTGTGGGCTCACACAGGCCCCAAGTCCCAACTCAGTCCTGCAACACTTTGGAGCTCCGCATCATTGTTATCTCCATTTTATACAGGAGGAAACTAAGGCACAGAGAAATGACATGACCTGTCCAAGGTCACACAGCTAATAAGCTGGTGGAGCCGGGATAAATCTAAGCCCGGAGAAAGGACATAAGTCTAAGGTTACCTGCCCATTGGGATACCCTCTCCAGGCTGTAGTAGGCTTTGGATGTAAAAGGCAACTGCCTAGGGGTGCCTGGCTGGCTCAGTTGGTAAAGCATCTCTTGATCTCGGGGTCATAAGTTCAAGCCTCACATTGGGCATGAAGCCTACTTTAAAATAAAATGAAATTTCAAACCCATTATTTAAAAAAATAAAAGGCAACTGCATAAAACAATAATTATAAAACTGTGTCGGCAGTTTTATAATCTGCTTATAACCTCTATGGATGAGATCTGTATGACATTAATCATACAAAGGTGTGGGGAGGGAATGGGGCTAGACTGAAGCAGAGTTTTTATACACTATTAAAATTAACTTAGTATTTATCCAAACTATATTTATTTTTTTTAGTTTATTTATTTATTTATTTATTTATTTATTTATTTATTTATTTTAGTAACCACTACACCCAACGTGTGGCTCGAACCCATGACCCTGAGATCAAGAGTCACACACTCTTCATCTTCTGAATGAACCAGCCAGGTGCCCCAAATGCAAACTATATTGTGTTAAGTGAAGCTGCTAATTGTAATGCCCAGGGCAACCCCTAAGAAGATAATTCCAAAAAACGCTGTAAATGAAACAGGGAATTAAAAGGATACACTAGGGGTGTATCAGTGTGTTAAATAGCTGCCTTCTGCTCAGGTCATGATCTTGGGGTCCTTGGACTGAGTCCTGCATGAGGCTTCCTGCTCAGCGGGGAATCTGCTTCTCCCTCACCCTCTGTACTCTCAAGTAAATAAATAAAATCTTTTTTTTTAAATACACTAGAAAATATCTATCTTAACAAAAGAAGGCAGGAATCAAGAAACAGAAAACAAAAAACGAAACCCATAAGACAGACATGAAAAAAATAGCAAAATGGCAGACATAAATCTTCTCAGTAGTTACATTGAACGTAAATGGGGCAAACAGCCCAAAGGCAGGGAGTGCAGAATAGATTTAAACACATGATCGAACTACATGCTGTTTATAAGAAATTTAGGTTCAAAGGCACAAAAATGTTTAAAAGGTTGGAAATAGATGCCACACAGAGTTACCAACAGAGAGGTGGAGTAGCTATGCAAGTTTGAGACAAAACAGATATTGAGGAGACAAAAACTATCACTTGAGACAAGAAGGACATTTATAATGATAAGAGGGTCTATCAAGAAGATAAAATTATTATAAATATATATGCTTCTAACAACAAAAGCCTGGGTGGCTCAGTCGGTTAAGGGTCTGCCTTTGGCTCAGGTCATGATCCCAGGGTCCTGGGATCAAGCCCCGCATCGGTCTCCCTGCTCAGTGGGGAATCTGCTTCTCCCTCTCCCTCTTTTACTCCCCCTGCTTGTGTTCTCTCTCTCTCTGTCAAATAAAAAATAAAATATTTTAAAAAAGAAGAAAACTCCATCCAACAACAGCAGAATACACATCTTTCTTAAGTGCACATGGAACATTCTCCAGGATAGACCATATGTTGGCCACAAAACAAGCCTCAATAAATTTAAGAGGATTGAAATCACATGAAGTTTGTTCTCCAACCACAGGGGAATTAAATCAGAAATTAATAACAGAAGGGGTGCCTGGGTGGCTCAGTCGGTTAAGCATCTGACTCCTGATTTCAGCTCAGGTCATGATCTCAGGGTTGTGAGATCGAGCCCTGCATCAGGCTCCATGCTCAGTGGGGGAGTCTGCTTGGGATTCTCTCTATCCCTCTCCCTCTCCCCCTCCCCCCAATAATAAATAAATAAATCTTTAAAAAAATTAGTACAGAAGAAATAGTGAGAAGTTCACAAATATGTAGAAATAGAAAAATTCACTCCTAAATAATCAGTGGGTCAAAGGAGAAATCACAAGGGAAATTAGAAATACCTTAAAATGAATGAAAGCAAAAATACAACATATAAGTGTATGGGATGCAGCCAAAGCTGTGTTTCAAGGGAAATTTGTAGCTGTTAATATCTGTATTAGAAAAGAAGAAAGAGGGTGCCTGGGTGGCTTAGTTGGTTAAGCGCCTGCCTTCGGCTCAGGTCATGATCCTGGAGTCCCAGGATCGAGTCCCGCATCGGGCTCCCTGCTCAGCAGGGAATCTGCTTCTCCCTCTGACCCTCCCCCCTCTCATGTGCTCTCTCTCTCACTCTCTCTCTCAAATAAATAAATAAAAAAATCTTTACAAAAAAAGAAAAAAGAAGAAAGATTTCAAGTCAATAACCTAACCTTTCACCTTAAGATACTAGAAAAAGAAGAGCAAACTAAACCTAAAGCAAGCCAAAGGAAGGACATAAAAAAGATAAGCGTGGAAATAAATAAAATAGAAAATAGAAAAAAATGGAGAAAATAAATAAGACTACAAGTTGATTCTTGGAAAGGTCACCAAAATTGACAAATATTTAGCTAGACTGGCCAAGAAAAAAAGAGAGAGGGCGCGCCTGGGTGGCTCAGATGGTTAAGCATCTGCCTTCGGCTCAGGTCGTGATCCCAGGGTCCTGGGATCGAGTCCCGCATCGGGGTCCCTGCTCCTTGGGAGCCTGCTTCTCCCTCTGCTTCTCTCTCTCTCTCTCCGTCTCTCATGAATAAATAAATAAAATCTTTAAAAAAAAAAAAGAGAGAGAGCTAAATCTCTGCTAATTTTATCTTTTCCAAGAACTAACTTTTAGTTTTATTAATTTTATAATTTTT